TAAGATGCATTATTAAAATTATGTGATTAAAAATGATCGTGCTTGGGGCTGGGGATTTAGCTCAGAGGCACAGTGCCTGCCTGATAAGTGCAAGGTCATGAGTTCGATTCCCAGTACAGGAGAAAACCAAAAAAAAAAAAAAAAAAAAAGGTCATGCTTACACATGATAGGTATTTAATAAATGTCACTTTTCTTCCCTTACCCATGTTCTTCCAGTGCATATGAAAGAATGGTGTGCGTTAAAAATGTCACATGGTTCAGATTCACTATAAATTTAAACTTTTTAAACTCATGGCTCTCTGTCTCCATTAAACTACTTTTTAAAATGCCAATAACTGAAAACAATAAAAACAGTAACTATATTAGCATCTGTTCCATGGTAGATACTCAATATTTATTGAATGAAAAATAGGAAATCTTTAACCTCTTCCCTTGTTCATGAGAATCAGTTACACTTCCATGTAGTTCAAAGTTATGTTTCCTTAAAATACCGATGATTTTCCCCTCTAGTTATGCAGCTGACCATTATGCATCAAACCATAACTAAATCTTTTAAGAAATTATGGCACAAAACCACATTTTCCTTTGCCTGATGTTATTTTTAAATGTATCTTCTGGAATTGTTTAGTCCAACATATTGGAAAGCCAGTGAGCTGTGAGTTCTAAATTCCAAAATGAAATAGAAGATTTAGACTAGAGCTTTGAAGAAATATTCTATTTGTAATCTTTAGAACCAGGTATCATATGCTTAATTCTAGTTATTGTAAGGAGATTTTGGTAGGACTTGGTCATCATAATTGCCACCAAATGTATTTGATGGTACTGGCTGTTAGGCATGTTTATTAAATATCAGAAGTTTTATAATACAAAACTACATATACTTGCACATACTTTGAATAATCTTAATATTTTTAAGTACATAAATTAACTATGTAAAAGGTATTCACTGCTTTCAAATTTTCATCAAAAAACTTTGGAAAGTAAAGTGCAAAGAATTAGATTTCCTAAAAAATATAATGATAATAATAAAGTCAGCATCTGACTTGCACGTTACAATATATTTTACGGTGAATTCCATATGGATTTAATTTAAATGAAAGGTATAACTAGCAGGTAGGTAAATATTTAATTGATCTTTAAGTAAACAAGGACATTGTAAGCATGAAAGCATTGGAAGAAATCATGAAGGAATATATAGAGAGATGTGACAAAACAGAAAAAGGTTTGAATATAGAAAACATAAAGTTAAAAGCAGACAGCAAACTGGGTTGAACATGACAGAAGGCTAATGCTTTCACATATAAAGACATCTTACAGATTAATAATAAAGCCTAAATATCCAAATGGAGAAATTATCGAAGGACATGTGCATGCATATGTGTATCTTTTGAATTCCTCTTTGTCCAGGAAACCAACAGTTTTCTGCCTCCTTTTAAAACCATAGAACAAAACTTCCCTCATCGCAAACCAGATTGAAAGTTCTTACCTACTGAAGCACTCTTCTGGATATCTGAAATGTCCTACACTTTTTGGGTAGGTTATATAGGATTTTTGCCATTTACAGTCCAGAAATAGTTCCCCTATTTTTATCATAAAAGAAAAATTTAAATTTCTTCATCTTAACATATTTTATGAGTTCTAGAACTGTAACTCTCATGTTTGTAAATCTGTAGACTCTCCAGACCAAGTTCTAGCGGTTAGGATGGTAGCAGGAGGCAGAAGGCACAAAGGTGTTAACAAAAGGAGGCTTAATAAATACAGTATGTCTCTTTTATGGGTGATTGGCCCGCTGTAGTTTTAGCTCATGATAAGATTGGTGTAAATGCGAACCGAGAATATTTTGACCTTGACAAGGAATATTCTCTTCATCTCAGCTGGTAGCCAGCTCCCACCTACACCCTGAAGTTGAGGAGATGGGGGAGGAAAGGCCGAGAAGGAGCCCAAGATGAGACTTGTGGAAAAGATAACTATTTCTTCAGCACAGCGCAGGAAAATCCCTCAGGTGCCCCAGGTGGCCAGATGACCTTCTGTGTCTGTGCTGGGGTTTCCTTTGCATGATCTAAAATGTGTCCTCTATGGTAGGAAACCTAATGGCTCTGGCCTTCGTCCACTAGATTCCTTTGTTCATGTTGGTCCCATTAGACAAAACAGGCAAATATCCAGCCTTCTCTGAGAACACATTGATTTTCTTGGGAAAGCAATTAGTTGAACAGACTTACCAGTTTGTAAGAACTGTGTAACACAAGTAATACATGTCAGCTCCATTTGGCTTTATTAATAACCTCCATCAAAATAGGGACTGGGTATGCCTGTAATACATTCCTTTAACCAATGAAAGAACATGTCTCATATTCCTGTTTTTCCCCTTCCTGTGAACCCCAATGGTAGACAGCTAAGAGATGTTTACATAGTAATTCAAATACTTTAAGTGGTATCCAGAGTTCGAGATCTATTTAGGTATTCATCTTCTCATTCCCTGTGCCTGGAGATACAGGCGGCAAACATGGATGACAGGTGAGCATGCACTTCCGGTGAAATAGTGCTCCTGCCTTTCTCACACGGCCACCACTTTAATTCCAGCTCTTAATTTTTAACCGGTCCCATCATTTAATCTATGAAATTACCGGGACTGAAAACATGGTGTGTACATATTCATTCTTAACTCCTGAAAATTGCTGATAGAACCAAACAAAACTTACTTGCCTCTCTGTGTGCTGAAACCATATTTTTTTTGTCTTTTTTTGTCTTTTTTTTTTGAGACAGGGACTTGCTGTGCAGTTCAGGCTGGCCTTGAGCTCACTTTATAGCCCAGGCTGGTCTCAGTCTTGCAGTGATCCTCCTGCCTCAGCCTCCCGAGTGCTGAGATTACAGGCATGTGCCACCACACCCGGCTTAAACCATAATTTTGAAAGCATTTCTCAGCACTGTTTGTCAGTACTGGCTATCACTTTGTTTTATCCCTTTGAATCTGAAAGTTGTCGAGATAAATGACCTTTTAGAATTTCCAAAGAACATGTTCTTATTTATTCGGGTTCTCTCTCTTTGAAAAGAAGTAACTTACAGAGGCAACTCATAGGGAATACTTCTTAAGGGCAATAGGTACTTTGAAGGGATTAGACCTCATTCGTTTATCTGTTTGGGGGTAGGACTCAAGAAACAGCCTCTCTGAGGCAATGTGCAGACCAGTGGAGCCGTATAAAGTTGCTGGAGTCCGGCTAAGTAATTAGCAACTTCGCACCTTTAGAGCAGAGCTCAGATTTCTTTGGATTGAGGGGACGAACATGAAAACATAAGGGAAAGGCAGGGACGGTAGGCACTGAACTGAGCAGGAGCAGCCAAGGGAGGGGGCTCATCGCGGGCATCGGAATTCCGAAAGGACCTGCACTGCCACACAGGCTGCAAGGCAGGAAGCTCGAGCAGTGTGCTAAACACTATTCATTGCCGAGAACAGACCACGGAGGTCCTGTGGATATGGATGTGTCTGAAAGTCAAGAAAAGGCATCAAAAGAAACAAATGCTTTTATTAATGCCAAGTTCAGTTTGTTCCAGGAACTGGAATATTTCATCATAAGCAGTGCAGTATAAGCCAAGAGTGAAGCAATGGCCATTCTTTCTTAGATGGATTCTAGGTATAATTCAGAGACCCAGCATATTTTATCCAGGCCTAGTTCTTTTTTCTTTTTAAACAGAAGAAAAATACACAATAAAAGCAATGATACAAAATTTCAAAATAAGACTGTAGGAGAATAACAATGTTCAGTACATTGTGCATTGTTATCTTCAAAGTAGTTGCTCATCATACAAGATACAGGCGGGAAGAACCAATCAAGCAATACAGGCAATACCTTGTTCTACTTCTGTCTTGATTCCAGCTGTGGAGGTATAAGATAGCCTTTGATAGAAGGCAAATTATTTTCATTACCTTTACAGTCATAGAAAATTAGTAATACTAAAAATTAATGATCTGTATTTTTATTCATTCTTTTTGTCTTAATTAGTTGATACAGTAACTCTGGCATCAAAAGAGTTACATATAATGAAGAAATCACTTAGTAATGAAAATTTACTACCATCTAACCAGTGAGAGTGAGCACATTTTTGAGTAATATTGATTGGCTTTAAGTTCCAATACATTCTCCTCACCAAAATACAAGTCAGTTAACCGACCATCATAAATAACTTTAATAAATATGGGAAGAATTTACAGGAGTCACCAGTAGGACTTCCCTGTTTGCTTAAGAAGCATTTATACTTCATATCGTACATAGTAACTTAAAGTACTGTCCCTGATAATAATAATCTATAATTTGGAAGTTAAGAAAATGTTTCTAATGTGAGTATCATTTTCATTTCGGTAGTGTGCTCCAAACAAACATGTATGAGAGTGGCATATTTTTGGTTGACTGTGTGTGTTAAAACAGGATTACTCCTTTTGGCTTCTTTGAACTTCTAAAGCAGAGGGCTTAGCTGTCAAATTCCCTGAGCCCATTGATGTTGTAAGTGATCATAAACTGGTTCTATCCGTAATATTCAAGTATCTTTGCTTTCCTAGCATAAGCAGCTCTCAGTTGCACACACTCACAATCCTGAGTGGTTCTGGTGAACTTTTCATTACTAACCCCATCCAAAAACCAGTGGACAGATACGGCCCAGAATTACACTATTGTGAAGCATTCAAACATATGTTTACATTTTCAAAATACAAAGTATAAGTGTTACAGAATTATCTGTGATCAAAAAATTTTTAAGATTTTCTTCTTTAAAGTGTCACCTTAGAATAGTTTTTGTTTGCTTTGTTAACGTGAGTCGCCCAAATATGGAAAAATGCAAGGGAAGTCATCAGAGAGGGTCCTAGGCAGCAGCTGACCTGGGTCTCACAGACAGAGCACGCGTGTGAGCCACATACGCGCCTGTGGTCCTGGCAGGGCCCCGCACTGCTTCTCTTTGCCATCGTTAATTTCCTTCTCCTCGTGAAACACTTACCGATTCCTGTCTCCTAGATGACACAGGCTGTCCTAGCAGCCAGTCAGTGTCTCCTGTGAAGACGCCCTCAGACACCGGAAACAGTCCCATTGGCTTTTGCCCTGGCAGTGATGAAGACTTTACCAGAAAGAAATGCACGGTTGGAATTCCTGGGGAGGGAAGCGTCCCATCAGCGCGGCATAAGAAGGAATTGAAGGCAGGCCTCGTAAAGCCAGGTAAGTGTATGGACACTTTGTGTTTTGGAGCATGACGACTTGAGTGATTTTCTTTTTTTTTTTTTGAGTGATTTTCTATTTGAAACGAAATAACTATATTCTGTACCCAGAACACAGAAACATTTTTAAAGTAGGTAGACTGTGGAGTGAAATATTTTGTGTAATAGTTATTAATAATTGAGTAAAGAGAATAACATGTATCCATTATAAAGAATTTTTTTAAATAAACCAAGTTGAAGAAATACATACTGATGCTCACTTTGGCAGCAGATATACTAAAATAGGAAATATATACTGATAGTCTAACAGACATTTTAAAGTATATAATTCTAGCTTAAATTAATAAGATGTTATGTATTTCTTTAATGTAAAGATGATCTTACATAAGTGTGTGGATTTTCAATAATTAAAAAATATGAAGAGCCACAAGATAAAATGAAGATGATTATTGCAATGAATGAAATGCCATGAGCGTCAGACAAAATCAGTTGTCAAATCTGAAAATATACATGAATATTTGGTATCTCAGAAATATAAACTGATAGAGTTTTAGAAAAACTGAAGTGATAGCTTTGTAGTCAGGGAAACCAAACATTAGCATTTGGAGAGAACCTCTATACTTCATTCTGTTCTTTACCACTCATAGTTACACTGCACACGTTTCTGCTCAAAGACAGACTGGTGGCTTGCGCAAGACTTCACTCCATATTTGTTTTCAGATTTCTGTTTGATGACATTGGTGTGCAAGGGGCTGCAGATGTTTTTACTTCTTTGGGGTCAAGGCTTGGTCCTGCGTCCTCTTCGTGGGGTGCTGGCATCTCTCTTGGCTTTTGTGTTTCTTGAATAATTGATGTGCACCGTCTTTCCTAATAGTTTATTCTTTATCTTGCTTTGGTCCCACCAAAGAGAGTATCATTTCATTTCAGAGCAAAACTTAAACTGTGTGAAAAAAGAAAAAACTTACTAGTCCTGTGTTTTAGAATAATATGAAAAAGAAAAGACATGATACACAACGGGGAAATGAAGCCAGCATATAAGGAAGAGAAATGAGGATTGTAGAAAGGGTAAGGCACCCTTGATATGTAAGAAAGAGGCAGTGAGCTCAAGAATGTCACATACCTCATCACATGGCCAATAAATAAAACTGTTGTCTTGTGCACTCAAAGACCAGAACGGCCTCTTTGTGCCGCAGTTCAGTTGTCTTTCTTTAAGTTGAGGTGGAATTCATACGTAGATAAATTTACCTAGTTAACGATGTACAGTTTAGTGGGTTTTAGTCTATTCAAACTGTTGTGGAAACATTACCGTTCTCTAACCCTTAACAGTTTTTTCTCACCCCAATATTGAAACTTCCTACCCATCAACACTCATTCTCCATTATCTTTTCCTCTCCAGCCCTGACTTGCCTCCCTGCCACCCCTGCCACAACCCTGCCTCTGTCTCTGTCTGTGTGTCTGTCTCTCTCTGGATTTGTATTTCCTGGATATCTCATACAAATACAATCGTACATTATGTGGCCTTCCTTGTCTTCTTTTACTTACGGTAATGTTTCCTAGGTTCTTCAGTGTAGCATGTATCAGTACTCCATTCTTTTTTATGGCTGAGTGATATTCCTTTGTATGTATGTGCCACATTTTGAAATAAGTTCTTTTTAAAAATCAATTTCATATTTACGGAAAAATTGGGTGGAGAGTATCAAGAGTTCTTAGATATCCTTTCACTATCACTACCTCCTGCATCCTGTTATTAATGTCTTGCCTTTGTGAGATGATATATTTCATTTATCTGTTCATAATTGACATTTGGATTGTTTCCAGTTTTTAGCTATTATAAGCAGTGGTGCTATGAACCTTGGTGTACAGGTTTTTGTGTGAACACGTTTTCAATTCTTTTGAGCAAATGGCTAGGAAAGAAATTTCCACGTCTTATGCTGACTCAACATTTGACATATTAAGGGACTGCCAATCTGCCAGATTCTTTTCCAAAATGGCTGAGCAATTTTACATTCACACCAGCAATAATGAGAGTTCCAGTGTCTCCACATCCTGGCTTACACTTGTTACTGTTTATATATTTTTAAAAAATTTATTACAGCCCTTTGCCTCGGTCTGTTTCATGTTGCTGTAATTCCATACCCAAAAGTGAAAAATGTAGGAGAAGAAATGTGTTCCTTACAATTTCGGAAGCTGGGAAGTTCAAGGTCAAGGAACTTGCATCTAGCAAAGGCCTTCCTTTAACATACCATGGAAGAGGACATCAAATGTGAAAGAGAAGTAGACCACTCACGTCTTTCTCTTCTTATAACATCACTAATCCCATTATGGGGCTAAAGATCTATGCTTTAGAAAAGAAATGCCTGTGTGCCCCAAATATCATACTATTTCAAAGCTTTCATGGATGTCCTTTATTAAGATTTATGAATAATAGTTTAATGCCTCTTGCTCAAAGGCAGATCCTGAAACAAAGCTTTTGTTAACAAGTTCTGGTTTCATTGCTCATAGGCATAAGTATCACTTCAGCAGTATTTACCTTGTGATCCTCTTATTTACCTGCATAGAACCAGGGTAAAGAGACCCTTAGAATCTGTTAGTTGTCTAAGATTCCCAGTGTCATCATTGAAAAACGCTGCAGCCTTTGAAGAGGAGTCGGTACTGTTACAGTATGCTCTTTGTATTTGAGAAGAACCTGTGTCGTGACCTATAGATCTCTGAACTTCGGGCAGAGTAAACCTGTCAGTCTCATAAATGTGAAGAGAGGGAATCCTGGGAGTCCGAGCCCCGTGGCTGATGCTGGTTTATCAGCTGCAGAGATATCATCTGTTAAACCACAAGAGGGCCCTGCTCTTGGGTAAAAGCGATCCACCTCCTCCCTGACCCCACGTGACCCTCTCCCCTCAGCCAAAGCCCATCTTCAGCTCGATTCACGCTCTACTTTTTAAAATAAACTGACTCATTAAAACCGATACCAATTTATTAAAATAGCAAGCAATTAGAGGCTTCTATGTAGGTGCTCAGGGGCTCTTTAACAGTAAGTAACTCAAGCCCATTTTAGGTCCCTTGCTCTAGATTTTGGGGGCCTGCTGTTCTCTCATTAAAATGCCCCCAAGGCCCCTCAGATGAAGAGTGAATGCTGTTCCCGGTGTCTGTGAGGCAGAAGGAGAAAGGAAATATGTCACAGGGTGCTGGGAAGGGCTTGCAAGGTGAGCTGAGCAATGAGCAAGCCCCGACCTTGCCAACAGGGCCCCGCAGCGTGGGCAGCAGGAAAGCCCTGCCTGCCAGGCCAGGACTCCTTCTGGAACCTTCCTGGAGGCCATGGAAGCCTCCTGTCATTTTGGCTTCCGTCAGTTAGGATCTAAGCAGATTTAATTAAAAGTCGCCAACAAGAGCAAAAGGAAACATTCCTGCGGTCCATTTGGACAATGGCTTCGTGTTCTCCTGTTTTCCTTTTACTGAGAATTGAACAAAACATCCAAGGCTGAGTCTCCAGAGTCTGCCATTGTTGTCATAAAGTAGATGCCCAAAACATACTTAAATGGGAAAGAATATATGGTTTGTCCAAGCGATCACACTTAGTGTGAAAGGAGCAGGGGGAAGATGGGGTATACATGACAAGACATCATCCTTCTGGGGCGGAATGTGTAATGTAAGGCGGACTGCACAAGGCTAAATCTAGACGGTAGCGCTGATGTAAGGGGAACTCTCTTCGAGGAATCCAGGGTAGCAGCATTCCTCCTCCCGTGTGCCCCACCTGTCTGCAGTGGTTTCTTTTTACCCAGAAATGAAAGGCCTATTTGGATTACTGCGCCATTACCTTAAATGACAATTCCCGAGCGGACTTTAATGCTCGATTTATTTCTTGGGGAGTAGCTTAGTGAAGGAGCAGATCCCCTGGCACTGTTTTACAAATACAAAGAGTAAATCCTTTCTCCACCCTTGGAGAGGTGGGGGACAGTTACATAAGTTAAAGCAATAGGGGGATTGGAAAACCTGAAAGGAAACTCACCACCTGAGGCGATGAAGGAGATGAGTAAAGAGCAAAGGGTGAAGGCCACTATAACTTAAAAGAAGTCCACATTTAGAGACCAAAATGTTGAAATCTGCATTTGAACGATGTCACTGTATCTCCACAGCATTCAAACCAAGTTAGTCTCCCTTGTCACCAGACACCGCCAGGGTATTGAAATCCGAGACCTGGCCAAGCTGCACTGTAATAACCTCACAACAATAGCCAGGCATTGGTTACTTTCAAAACCAATTTCCCACAGCCAGGGGTATTCGATAGGACACTCAGAAGGCACCAGCTCGGTTAGTGATTGACGCTTTCATGCACAGCCAAAGCCCACAGATGTCTCTGTCTTATCACGCACACCATCTCTGCTTCAAAGTTAATTCCGCCAAGTGAAAGAACAGGCCGGCACCTTAGCTGGGGTGGGTCATCCTTACGCACAGCGAATCACTTGCCTACTTCAGGGAGTTCAAGGAGAACTGTTCGGGTTTAGACAGCGTCTCCCTGGGTCGCGTTGCCTGTTGGGAGGAAACAGCGTGTGCAGGGGGAGAGGAGACAGTTTCCAGCCGCCAGACTCTGGAGCCTGACATGCAGTGTTCAAATTCGCTTAGCCCTGTGTGGTCTTCAGTTGCGTGTCATCTGTTTGAAACTTTGCGCTCCACATCTGCAAAATGGGTTTTTAAAAGATTAAATTACTCCTCGCCTGATGTCCCTGCTGGTCCTTTGTAGTCTTTTGCTCCTCTTTTTAGTGGTACTGGGGATTGAACCCAGGGCCTTCACCCTACATCCCCAAACGCTTTTCGGTTTTTGTGTTGAGATGGGGTCTCACTAAGTTGCTGAGTTATGTAGGCTGAGCTTGAACTTGCCGTCTTCCTGCCGCAGCCTCTTAATAAAGATTTCACAAATTCCATGCACTTTATTTACAGGAAAACCCCTGAAACTCTCATACAGAGTTTGTATTTCTTTGTAATAAATTCTAAAATTATCTCCATTGG